AGTGAAAGGACAGAAACTCTCAACTCCATAGATTCACAAGGGGAGCATCGTGTGTCTTCTAGCAGAAAATAAACTAATGGTGTCTGAAACATTGTATATTTCTATTGGTTTTTCCATAGCGTATGTGCTTGAGTAATTTCAAAAGATACCTAGAACACTCTTTTATATATATATGTGTGTGTGTGTATATATATATGGGTGTATATGTGTATACATGTATGAATAACAACATTGACCATAAATTATGAGGCTGAGTATATTTCACATATATAATGTATGCATATTTTATGATAGTTCATTGTATGATATTTCATGTGAAGCATTTATTATCTCTATTTATAATTAAGAACTTACAGCTTTTATGAAGAAATCATTGCTGTTTTCCATTGTAATTTGTACCCCATATATGTAGTACTTAACTATCATTGTTTGAACCTCTAAAGTTTTGAATTGTAAAGACGTTCAGTTCTAAATCAATGATGAGAATGTATCTCTGGGTAGGTTTTGTTTCATTATGAATTCTTATTTTATATTTAGTATAAAGCAAATAGAATTTTGGTTAGATAATGTTGTACACAATGAAATTTGAGTGACAAAAAAAAAAGGAAGAAATAAAGAAGCATGGTTTATACAGCAGCCCAATGAAGCAAGCTTGAAGCTCATTTCAACAACTTTACTCAAAGGGTGTTCATATTTGATTGATATTATCTAAAAGAAAGACATAATACTGTTTTCCATGTCATTAAACAATTTTTCATGAATAAATTTGAAAATGATATAAGGTTAGGAAAAGAAGACAAAATCGAGAGTCAAAGGAGCCTGATGAACTATAACAAAAAGCTAGAATTAATAAGATAAAGTTCAATGAATATAAATGTAACTTCTACCTTTACATATTTTTTAAAAAACTAGTATCAGAGGAGGAAGATCTGGATTAGGAGTAGTTTGAGCTCAGAGAGTTGGAGGTTTTAACTGTTTTCAAAATCAATATGAACAAACAACATGACAAGGCTATTGTGATAGGTAAGATCATGTTAGACATTAAATCAGGGATGCGATTGTACATTTATATCACAGAATGTTCACATCAGAGAGTTTGTTTTGATTTCAAGACATTGATTTCAACATTTTATGGAAGTTACCTACAATCCAGAGTGCATAGAAAAGGATTTACAGAGATGATTAGGGGGACTTCTATTTCTTGTAATGGCAAATTAGAAATTCAGTCTGATCCTCTGCTGAAGGAAACAAATAAGGTTTGATGATAAAACAACTCATCTTAAAAACATCAAAGAGCTAATAAGGCAGTGAGAAATTACCTGAAATGGGTCTCAGAAGAGGCAATGTTCAGTATCCAATCAAAAATAGCCATTCACATTCTAAGACAAGACACCATGAGCAAAAGCAAGGAAAATGATAGCAGAAGCAGGCACCCTGGGAGTCCAAACACCAGAGATCTCAAACCTTCCAGATCAGACAGTTCTGCTCACCATGTCGAGTAGATCAAAATAAAGATTGAAAATTTCAGCAGGAAACTAAAAGTCATACAAAGAAATAAAAGTCAATTTGAAAAATACATAGAAATTCTATGGTATTTAGAGTGGTCTGGAACTACCATATAAGGGACATTCAAAAGTCAAAAAATTTTCAGCCTAGAAAAGGGGAGACATAGGTAAGTCCCAAGAGTAATCATCAGTTATTTGAAAAGAGCTTTTTCTATTGCCTTGATTCTGTGTTGCTCCAGAAAGCAAAACTAGACCCACTATTTGAAATAGCAGGGAGGCAGTTTTAAGTTCAGTTTGAGAAATATGTCTCCAACAATTAGAATTGTCCAAAATCAGCTTCACTGTCTGAGAAAATTGAGATTGTTATCATTATTAGTGATCATCTACTGTTAGGCAGTTGCATATATTGCATATTATCAGAGAGTCTTTCTACTTCACGTAAAATATCAAACTGTAAGGGCACTGAAGTTTCTCCACTATGATTCTTTTGATTCCAAGTAGAAGCTAATATTGTCATAAACATTATTAGAAAAATTCCAAACTGACATTTCCCAAAGTATGGTTTCAGAAAGTCCCAGGATTAATATACTATGGAAGAGTTCTGGGGTCAAAAACATTTGGGAAATTCTGAGTTAAGCCGAGTTAAACAGGCTTCTTCGTGGCAATATTTCTCAACAACTTTAATGTGCTAATGTGCATCAAAACATTCATGGGAATTTATATGTGCAGCATTGATAACTTACAACAAGAAACAACTTTTTTCCTTTTCCATATTTTCAAGACATGTTCTACAGAATACTTTTGGGGAAATGTTGGGCTAAATAATTCTAATCTTGATGATCTCAAAAACAATTTAGTGGTTTTCATTCTACATGAAGTCTTGAAAGAATTGAGTTGATAATATGATTCATATATAAACTTTTCATGAGGATGAAACCATGAAAAACTATCATAATTTACCACAAAAGATGTTCCCTTCTCTTTGATAAGATGCCACTTCCTTTTTCATAACATATCACTCTTTTACTACACATACTTATATGTGACATATAATCTAGTTGAAATTGAGGCTCTAAGTGTGAGAGAGGATGGTTAGAATTTAAAACACCTTCTGGCATATCTAACTTACTTTAACAACTGGTTGTAGGTCCATGAATTTGCCAAAACTTTTAAAAGCTGTTTGTAGTTAAAGCTGTTCTAACTATTAGGGTAGTAAGCTCCAAAAGTTTTAATTCTTTCCTGTTGCCTTGAGCAAGTTACTTAAATTCAATGTGCCTCAGTTTTCTCATGTGTTAAATAGAAATCATGATCATAGGGCTGTCATAAGAATTGAATTAAAAGAGATAATCCAGCACAGTGTTTGGTACATTATAAAAACCCAATAAATATTAACTCTAATTTTTACTGCAAGAGGTACTTTGCTTTTGTTTGATCTACAATGCCATCCTGCTTCATTTGCATGGCATAATGTAGGTGAATTACCAACCTCTGTGCCTAACTCCTAGTGGACACTCAACTAAAATGGTAGTGAAGGTGATTTTATTCTTTATATACAGTTACTTCCTAATTGGTTATGAAGGTGGCAGTTTTCACATTGCAAAAGTCCTGCATTCTGCCCTATCTCAACAAATCTAGAGTCTAAAACAGGAATTATTGGGTCATTGGAACTAGGTATTACCATGTCACTGGAACTAGGAATTACCTGCCACTTAATCTTTTGTACCCATTTCTTTTTTACAGCATTTGTTAGTGTCTGTATTCAAATATGAGACAAATGAATCTCAGAAATGTTCAGTAATTTGTCTATGGTTATTAAACAAACCAAGAAGCAAGTAACAGAAACCTTTGCTCAATTATGTCACCTACAAATCCACTAGTAAACAGCTGCTGGTGATGAAAACAATTCCCTTTCCTAAAAAGCTACTTAAACTGAAAAAAAAAAAAAGGATCGAATTGCTCTTTTTACTGTAATAAAACTATCAGTTCAGTAATTTGTCTATGGTTACTCAACAAACCAAGAACCAAGTAACAGAAACCTTTGCTCAATTATATCACCTACAAATCTTCTAGTAAACAGCTGCTAGTGATAAGAACAATTCCCTTTCCTAAAAAGCTACTTAAACTTAAAAAAAAAAAAAAAAAAAGGATTGAATTGCTGTTTTTATGGTAATAAAACTATCAAAAGAAAAAAATGGAAGTACAAAGAGAGGGTCACTGTAGTGTTAAAATAAGCAATAGTGAATACAAGAAAGATACGGCCAGGTGTATTGGCTCACACCTGTAATCTCAGCACTTTGGGAGGCCAAGGTGAGAGGATCATGAGGTCAGGAGTTCGAGACCAGCCTGGCCAACATAGTGAAACCCCATCTCTACTAAAAGTAAATAATACAAAAAATTAGCCAGGCATGGTGGTGTGTGCCTGTAATCCCAGCTATTTGGGAGGCTAAGGCCAGAGAATTGCATGAACCCGGGAGGCAGAGATTGCAGTGAGCCGAGATGACCATTGCACTCCAGCCTGGGCGAAAATGTGAGACTCCATCTCAAAAAACAAAAAGAAAAAAAGAAAAAGACAAAGACAAAAAGAAAGATGCAAAGAAAGGTTTAGTTTAGCAGTTAGAGAAAATTATTTTGACAAGAAGGTTAATCAAATAAGACCATTGTTTGCTTAATAGAGTAGCGATAGTAAAATCACAGACACTTTATGAAAATGCAGATGTATTTATAGACAGAGTGTAAGGGTCCTTTTCAAGCAGAAAATACAACAGATATAAAAAGAGTTCTTTGCAACCTTTTCATCTGAACACTACTAATGATTTGGTCAAACTAAGAAAATAGACTTTAATAAAATTCTCTTTCTACTAAAAATGTGCTAAATGGGTTTGTCTGAAAAAATAAAGCATTCAGGATATCTTGCTAACTTTGTATCATACTAGTTAATATGCATTATTTACTTGTATTAAATACATGTCTACATTTTCCTAATGGATTACTACAGACATCACAGACTACCTGTAAACATGCACTCTTTATCCTGAATCAAGAGGACGTGGCAAAGTAGAATTCATTTACAAACCAGGATAAATTTCCAAATGTCTTAAGCTTTTTCTATTTTTCAAGTCATTTATACTCATATGTTTATTATATATTATCTATATAATGATGTTATTTATTTATAGAGAGCATAGTTATTTAAATGATGTTATTTATTTATAGAGAGCACAGTTATTTAAGTGATCAAAAGTCTGTAACTTTTCCTAGTCATTTCCTTATAAGCAAGCCATCTTCTGTTTAATTTCCCATTGGCTTTAGAACTAACTCTGGCTTCCTTATTTTGAGGTATACATTAGTCTTCACAACCCAGTCTAGTCTGCTTCTGAAGGGGTGATGTTAAGAAATGAGAGTGAAGCCAAGATGCACTAGGATCGACGCCAGGTTCAGAGAATGAAATTAGAAGTGAAGACAATGCCAAGGTAAACTAAGCCATCTTTTACTTACAGCTGACACATGTTGCAAGAGGCACATGACATCAATCATGTCCGCAAGGATAAGGAGTCTCGTCACTGCAGCCAGCAAGGCACGGGCAGCTTGAACCACAGCCTCCCTTTTTGGGAGAAAACAGGGGTCATCTGTAAATCTCTCAGCTGATACTTTCAGAGCTTCACCTGAAAAATACAACCCCAAATAAGTTATACTTTAAGTTTCAACTATGCCTATTTCAGAATTTATCAGCTAACCTAATTCCAAGTAAATTCCAAGACTAAGCATAATATAAAAATATTGTCAGTTGACAATTGTCAACACATGGTTTCTCAATAAACAATGCAGTTTCAAATTAACATTTGTTTTTGACAAATATTCTGGAATTAAGAAGCATGATATCATTTTCCTGCAAGAAAATTGTGCTCAATTGACTAGGAACATCTAGTAAAATTGCTGTCCACTTCTGCTTTTGCTGAATCTCGTTTCTTGTAAAAGGTTTTATTACTAAAGCTTCAATCATAAACAATCCTGCTTATAAAAACAAGGTAAATCTTTATTGAGTTGGAAAGTAACTCAATGGATGTTAGAAAAGAGGTAGTCTTTAAGATAATAAGACTGCAGCTCTCTGATAAAAGTTTAACATAGGCAAATTTATTCTAAACTGTCAATATAATGAATAAACTATATCCTAGATTTAGTCACAGAAATAGTACTTCATAGTGCATAATTGTTAAAGAATATTGTGTTCACTATTTTTAACGCCTTTTCATTTAAAATATATCTTGTTATTAAATATGTACTCATTCATTGTTTTACGTTCCCAGTTCAGAAGGGTATAAAATGAAAATATTCAATAAAAATCTCTCTTTACTCCCATCCAATAGCATAATTGATAATTACCACATCCACTATTTTTTAAGTTTTTAAATCTAAACTTATTTTTATTATAAAAGTATTATAATACATGTCCATTACTTTTGAATAATTCACCACACCAAAGAACATCAAGTAAAAATTTTAAAAGTCTCCAAACTAATCCCCCAAAGCACCAACTATTCAGCTCTTGTATATCTGTCCAGAAATTTTTACATGAATGTATGATTTATGTGTATAAGTATATATAGATACATATGTTTTATATACATAAATGTATACATGTTTTATATATGTATGTTTTCTGAATATATTCATATACATTCATATATACAAATATATGTTTTATAAAGACAGAGATTTTATAAGAAAACATAGTTATTGTATATGTTACAAGAAGAGAAGATAAAAATATAGAGCCTTTAACAAGTAGTATCCTACTAGAGAGATTTTCTATAATTTCTTCTTGCTTATCAATTTATTTTCCTTTCATACTGGGAAACAGATGACCAGCAGACAATATAGCACAAGAATTAACAGTGTGTACTCTGGAGCCAGACTGCTTCAATGTCTCTGTCCTAGTATCTTAATCAAGTCACTTAATATCATTACTCTTCATTTTCTTCTTTTTAAAATTAATTAATAATAATAACTACTATTTTATGAGTATTAAATAAGAGTACATAAGGCATATTTCATTGATACACTGTAACTTATTTTACCAGGCCCCTAATGAACACATAAGTCATTTCCAACTTTTTCCTATTTCATATAATACTATAGAGAATGCCCAGGACATATGTCTTTACACGCATGAACAAGTTTAGCCGTAGAATAAATTCCTAAAAGTAGAATTCCTGAGTCAACAGGCAAATGAATTTTAAGTTTTGTTACATATTGCCACAAAATTCTCCAAAATACAGTCATCCCATCAAAAATATACAAAAGGGTCTGTCTTATCCGTTTATGGATTACATCCGTAAATATTTTAGTTTTCATTGACTCATGAACCTTAGCATAAAGAAAACTGAATCAATTATTTTACTAAATAAAATAAAGAATACTGTTTCTTATAATTGACAAAACTTGTGAGGAGGGTCTGAGACTGTCTCAACATGTTAGTATGTCTCATTTAGATCTCTTTAGCAATACCAAGTGAGGAACTATGACTCTAGATACTTCTGAGATCAAATTCTTATATGCCCCATCTAGTTCTGGGACCCTGGACACTAAATGCCTTCAATGTCTTTATCTAGAGAAAGGGGTAAAAATATGATTTATCTCACAGTGTTTCTTGGATGCTTAGATGAGATAGTTCATATAATATATTTAGCACAGTATTTAAACATGGAAAGCACTCAACAAAGATTAACTGTTACTTTGGGGAAAATTTCTAATAGAGATGGTAAATTTTTAAGACCAATAGGTGGGTGATTTTCATGTGCTTCTCTGCAAGTCAGAATTGCTGCTATAAGACTGTGAAAAGTTAAACTGACCTCCAAAATTTAGAAAGCAGATGAATGCCCGCAAAAAAAGATTAATTTTTTATTGTTGTGATTCTGACTTGGAAAGTTATAATAGCCTCTTTAGAATACTGTCTTTGACTTCACATACTAAAACTAAATATATATCAAAAAATTACATATTTTTTACTCTAAAAATATTGGAATGTTGAACAACTGGCTGAAGAGCCATATTCAGAAAGAGATAATTTAAACAATTATTATATTCTTGTCTTTGTTAAGGGAATATGAAAAGCCAGTCAGGTAGCTCTGTTGGAAGGAGAAATGTCACCCCCAAAATACATTAATAAAGATGCTATAACTTAAATTCTTATTGCTGGACTTGTCCCTAATTTCCCCAATATTCGTAACCCTTTTCAGCTGGTTTCAGCCCACACTCTGGTCTTAAATTAAACATCACTTCCTATGGGAAGCTTGGACCCCCCATTACTAAGATCGGTCTTACAGTACTATGCTTTCTACCATAACCTTCATAATTTATTATAACAAATTGTATCAAAACCTGTCTTTTCTTCTGGATCATAAAACTAGTAAGTGCAAGAGTTGCATTGGTCCTGGTCACCACAGCATTCCCAGGATCTAGAATAGTGCTTACTCTGTTGCATATATTCAATACATTGACTATATATTGCCAAATTAATATGTGAATGAACATTATTCAACTTTTCTTTGATAAACATTTGTTTTTTCCTCTATAAAACAGCTGTATCCTAGGTATCCAGGAGAGAGATATCAGTATGAAACAGTTTTTTTGCAGCCCAAGAAGTTCCGAGTCAAGTGAAAGTCATCAAACACTGATACAGGTTTCTGGTACAGGCCTGTACAAAGTACTAAGAGACACAGAGGAGGACCTACCTCTGCCTGAGGTGTCAGAAGACATACAAAGGAATGTTCTAGGTAAAAGAAACATATTCCAACTATTGATAAGGTATTGATAACGACAACTGGTTTATAGAATTTAGCCAGTTCACCATCATATTGATTTCTGACAGCAGAAAATGGTTATTTTCCTAATTAAATAGAAAAAAAGCTACAAGTTTCCTTTCCATCTACAATACTAGCATCTATGTTTTATAAAGTCTACATGTGGAGAGTCTACTCTTTTGAAATATCATTCCCAATCTTGCTTATAATGCTTTTACTTTGAAGTTTGCTGAATAGGAAATTTCACATTTAAAATGCATACAAATAAAAATAACTACGTTTTTTCTTCAAGAAATCCCACTCTATACATAAAAATAATTTACTAAAGGTCTTGAAAATGCCACAAGAACTAGGTTCAGAAAACTTCTTTCTACTGAGTCCATTTAGTTCCTTTCCTAAAAAAGGGATTTTTTTAATTGTTAAAAAAATCACTTATGAAATCCCTGCTAAAATAAGGTACTAGAGTCTATAGTCTACAAATATCTATAGAGGTAACTTTTACACACCGATATATGTGTAAGAGATGAAAATTTCTGAATATACAAAAATCTGGCCTACAAACTATATGATCAAATAAATAAACTCCAGAAGTACAAAAAAATTGTTGGCCAAATACACATATTACAAAATATTCTTTATTTTATAAAGCTTCCTATATGGTTCTTTTACAAGTTACTTTGCTGCATTTAAAAGTATAATTCTACTTTCTAAAAGTGATTATATTGATTATAAACTTAAAAGTCAAAGAAAACCTGGTATAAGAAAAATATCCAGATGAAAAAGAGAATAACCAAAATGAAAAGGGGCAGGTACTAAAGATAAAATATTTCCTCAGCTTTTACTTGACATTATGTTTATTATTCTATTAAGATTTCTAATATATGGATCTGGCCAAGTGATACAAATACATCATGGTAAAAGGTTTATATCATACACATATAACATGCATTAGTACATATTCATTGATTCAATATATAATAGGGTTCACAAACCGAGACTAAACACTCAGGGTTTAGTTTTGTTTGTTTTTAATTGGGAAAGTGCCATTTTGAATCTGAAAACTCTGAAGAGGTAGAAGCTTGAATTTAACTTTTTAGCGGACAATTATTTTACTTGGCAGGAAAGAGAGGGGGATGATCTCAATTCCACCCTAAACTTACATAGATGTTAAAAAAAAAAATGGTAAAGACTTTCCTTTAAAATATTCAAGACAGTTTGACTACAAGGACCAAAAATGTTTTGTATGATTAAAAGAAAACCTTATTATGGCAGGTGGAAGGGAAGCAAACCTAGCCACTGCTGTGTGGACCCAAGGTTGGGTGCTACAGCAGGGTTATAGACGAGGAACGTGGCTGCATATGGTTGCTATTGTAAACTATTGGCAATGTTTTATTTCCATTTTATTATCGTTGAACTCAGTAAGTCTTATTTAAAGTTCTAATTTGCTTTCAACTAAGGCAGAGTAACAGAGACCTGATTCCTTTCCTACCTGAAACCAAAAAACGTACCAAATAAATGCAAAAACGGTTGTAAGGCACTGGATGTTAGGCAATGAAGGTCAGTAATCCCTGAGAAATGGACCCCCCCTCCAAAAAACAAGGATTACCCTTTTGATAGCCCCAGCTTACCACCATAAGAGATTTTCCAGGCCATGATACAGGAAAGGGAAACCAAGGCAGAGCCTGGAAAATTCTCTGAGCTGAGCAGACAAAGCTGAGTGTCCTCGGAGATTCAAGGCAGTAAAAGTATAAAACAGAATAGAGAATGATAAAGGGAAGAGATACACAGAGAAAGAACACCGATAATCTGCACATGCTCCCTCTTGGTATTCAGCTGAATACTGATCAATCCATATACTGGAG